AACAAATGCTAGAGGGAGAAATCACAGAGTAATTCCGCCAGATTTCTCAGCAATTTTCCCAAGATTGTGCATGTTAATTGCTTGTAGCTGCAGGTTAGTGCTGCCAGTTCCTGTGTGACAGCTAAGTACCAAATGGCAGGCCCTTCAATCACACAATTACAGACTTTAGGGGCTGGAGACTTTAGGAGCAGGTCAAGGCTACCCCTTCTCCATCCAAATAGGCTGATTCTGAAGACCAGTCTTTTTGACTAGTTGAGTTTGAAGTGACTGAGTGATGGGGCTTCTCCGGGGAAGTCATTATAACATTGTAGATTTGACTGTGGGACAGTGTTTTATTTGGTTCAAATTATCATGTTATTTGTTTAGTTATACTCACTAATTCTAGCTCGCCTCTGGAATGCTCAATCTCTGATTACACATATTAAGCTCTTGGCTTGCTGTCCCAAGTCCAACACTGATTTTAGGGGTGACCACAGGAAGGGTTATTTCTCTTCTTTAGTCCTCAGTTTCCCTTTTTGCAAAATAGAAATGGAAGAATTGGAAGGGATGGTATTGAAGCTCTCTGTTTCTTCCTTTCCATGTCTTTTCCTGCTTTCTTTATTTTCTTTCTTTTTGTTTATTTCCACTTTATCTCTGCTCTTCCCTCCTTCTTGCCCTTCCCCATCACTACCTTGAAATGGTCAGTTCTCCATCCCAGGACCCTTTGGTATACTGAAGCTAACCCTTACTACCTTGGAAGAGCCAGCTCTGCTTATTTCTTTCCAACACTGTGATCAGTGATATCTCCTTGGTCACTCAGAATCGGCCATGGTGGAAGTATTCACACTATTGAACTCAGCAGAAGTGACAGATGACCTGTTCACTCCACGGAGAGCCAGTTGTCAAACATTTACCAGCACACCATTGCTGTGACCACTTTCTAAATAGAGCATTAGGATAAATAACTTTGTCTTGTTTAAAAAAGAATTAGATCATGTAGCTTTGAAATAGCTCACCTATATTCAATACTTGGAAAAGAACTCATATTCAAGAAAGCTTGTGTGTGTGTGCTGGGGGGTGGAGGTTGGCAGATAGTAGGTTTTAAGCATCTTCTATTGACCAGAAATATTTTTTTTAAAGTGTTCCTTACCACAACTTTCAAAGATTGGTGTTATCCCCATTTACATATAGGGAAACTGAGGCTCAGCAATATTAAGTAATATACCCAAAATCAAATAGTAAGTGGCAAAAGCTCATTGCTCAGTAACAGTCTGAAAAGTCAGCACCATTTACGTTTTTGTTCCATCCAGCAATTGTTGAAGGTGTAGAATGCAACCAAAAGTCCTTGAATTCAGGCAAAATCCACCCAGAACCGTTCAGATGGAAATAACTCAGAATACCATAGATGCAAGCTTCAGAAGAAGATTTCAGGTAAGCCCCACTAGGATTTGGAGATAATCACTTTCCAGATGAATGTAAAGATTAGAAAAGAAAATTAACTCATGTGCTTCACCTTTGAAGTGCCCAAGCCTGTATGTCTAGAATGGTCAGTTGGTTTTAATATCTTAAAGAAAACTCGTTTTCTTAATTATTCCTTTCTGTTTTTAAAAATAACATAATGTTAAGTTTATTTAGGGTAGAGATCTTTCTCAAATGTCTCTGTGGACCTTGATGTAACTTTTTCACCAGCCCTAAGGCTTGGGGTCACTGCCATTTGGTAAAGCTTGAATTCAAACCCCACTATTTGACTCCAGATCACATGATTTTTGATCCATCATGCTGGCCTGCTCTGCAGTGTTGGGAGAAATGAGTGCTATTCTGGAGGCAACCTCAGTAGTGTCTGTGTCCAAGACACTGTTGTCTGCAGCAGCTCCTCCATTCTGGTATGCTTTAGCATATCCCAGAATAGGACATTAATTTGCTTCCTCCTTTTAATATATCGATGCTCTCCCCACTGTTAATAGAGAACAGAGGTGCTGGCCACAATGGGAGACCTCCAGAGAGAATGTGGATGGATTCTTCAAAGGCCTGGAGGAGAGGGGCTCTGGGACCCAGCTGCCTCACAGATGGGGCTCGTTATCCACACCACTCTCCCACATTGAAGGGAGGCCAGCAGAGAGCCACAGAAAATTAGAGGCTTGTGTTGGAGAGGCCAGATGTTGAGACAACAGGGACATCGTGTCTCCATTGGCCAGGCTAGCGGCTTTGAGTGCTCTTTGCTGTGGTGGACAATGTGGGCTTATGAAGGTCATGCTAAGAAGTTCTGTTAAGTAAAAAGTCAGGGGAAGTGGTTGTGAAATAAAGTGATAGCATCATTTCCTTGAGCCCCACCTGTGCAAGGATGGAGGGATACAAAGAACTGGAAGACCAGTTACTTTGTGTACGACTATGCTTTGACACACGTTATCTAATCAATTCCTTGGGATGATATTTTGAAATAAGGACTGTTTTTAACATTTTATAAGCAGCAGTAACAACAATAATAACCTATAACTCAGAGGCGAAATGACGTGGCTAAGGCCAGATGGTTATAAGTGGCAACAGTGGGACTTGAGCTTATGCAACCTTGATTCTGAACCTTTTCCTCCCTTTACACCAGTTCTTCTCAGGATAGTCCTTAGACCATCTGTATCAGCATCTCCTGAGAATTTGTTATAAAGGCAGACCCTGGACTTACTGAATATCCTGGGGTCTGAACTTCAGAGGTCCTCCAGTGGATTTGGATGCATAGTAAAATCTGAGAACCATGGCCCTACACCATGCTACTGTCCTTTGAAGCAGCCCCTGACTAGCCTCTGGAGATTTTCTGGACGCTTCCCATCCCTTTCAATTAAAGCACTAGTTTCAGGAACAGAGGAACAGCCCTTCAGGAGTCTTCTGGGCTAGACATTATGAGATTTGGCTGTCTTCAATGAAAACAGATCCCAGTGAAATAATTTTTTGCATGGCTCAGCCTGACTCCTTCCTGTTCAGTGGCTGCAGGTGGTGAGATGCAAAGAGGCAAGGGAGCAAAACATGGCAACGTGCTTTGAGGCACCCAAATTTCTATCTTAACTTCTGGAGTTCCTTACCCACTGAGTAAGAGTCACATACTGGCTTCTCAGCAGGTACCATGGGTGACCCTAGGTCTTAAAGAAACCAACCTTTCAGTAATATGCCATCCAAATACATATTCTCCTTCCTGGGCCATAATCAACAAACAAGCACTCATCCACCAATGTCCCAGGCCATCCCTATCTCTGTTACTTGCCCAGCTTATGCCAAGAAGTCCTATTTAGATTGGTGACTTCCTTATAGTTGTGTTACGCCTTCATTAAAATGACAACTTTAGGACATGGAAACTGGCAGTTTTCATAACCAAATACGACAAATTTGATGTTAAAAAGTAATAATCTCTTCCAGAGTGTTACACACACACACACACACACACACACACACACACACACACACAAAAGGCATCAAATTAGGAAAATAGAAATTTGGGTTAAAAAAAGCTCAGGAAGTCCCAGGATACTAGCTGGTAGCCAAGCAATAACCAGTACCAAATCCTATGAGAAAGTTTAAGCTACAGATTCATCAAACAGACTGAGGTACAAGGAGATGATTTGAGGAAGAGAGGTCATGCGGACAATGAGACCTAGTGCAGGCACAAGAGATGAAGTTACTGTTGTACCATTGGAGTAGACTTCCTGGGTGGTTGTTAAAATAAAGGCTGTTTACTGTTCTTACAAGTTATTTATCTGTTGGTACAACCCACTGGAGCACAGGATGAGGGCGTCAGGTTGGGAGAACTACACTCTCCCATATCTTCCTGATTAGTGCAAGGCAGGTAGAAAAATAAATAAAAGTGATAACCCTGGTCAGCCCACAGTTTGACTGTGGCATTTTTTCCTGAATTCCATGTTTTAAAAAGATGTTGATAAACTGGATGAAATCCAAAGATGGAAATTATGTCTTATGAGAGACAATGGCAGGACTTGGACATGTTTTGACTGAGGAATAAATAGCATAAGAAAGATAGGGCGTGAAAAACCCCCACCTTCAAATGTTTCAATCTTAAAGTATCTCCGTTATTAAAATTATAAGAGACATTTGACCAAGTTTGAAACACTTGAAAATAGATAACGTAAATCTTAATGGTTTCACCATTCCAACATGAGGCTTATTTATATATTTGCATATTCCCCTTTAGTACTCCAGTACATGTGGCTTGCAATAAGCAACTAAGCTTAGTTGCAACACACATGTATTTCCTTCTCTATGGCTCCAAAACTCAATCTGAGGACCAGTGGTTTAAAAATTGCAGGGAGGCTACGTGTACCACATTACCAATAAAAAGGTTGACAATATGTAGCACTTGACAATTAAACAAGGAACTGTCGATGAAACTCATGTAGCAATAGAGTCAGACACCATGCTGGGGAATAGCTTTTTTTATCCCCTCATGGGATTACCTAGGTATGAACTGGAAAGGAGTCTCTCAATAAGGTTACCAGGAGGCTGTCTAGATCAAGTCAGTGGTTGGTCAAGGATAGCTTTCACAGTCTCTTCCTATTCATAAGTGTGCAGGGATCCATGACTCCAATATAGCTATTGCACTTCCTTTCTCAAAAACAGATTTTTGAATCACCATTTCAGAAAGTAAATGGCAGGAATGGAACTAACATTTTTTTTTCCCATTGTCAGATCTATGCTTTTGGTTCCTTTCCATTTACTCTCATCAGAACAAACTTTGTAAAGTATGTACCAGTTACCTTTGCATTGCAGATGGGAAGTCTTAGGACACGTTTTCTCCTAAAAGTAGAATTATAACCAAACTGGTCCAAAATGTAGAAGATTCAAAAACTGAAGAAAAATTATACTACAGAAGTCCTTGGCATGGATAGAGATCAGTATGCCTTCAGGAACCTCAGAATCAGGAGTTGCTGGGTCATTACACTCCTAGGCCCCATTTAGTAGGATTCACCTGGCAACTCTCAGGATGCCTCCTTAGTACAAGTTTTTGGGAGAGAGACACTTACTGGTTTAGTTTAGAATGGTTTGCCTTAGATCAAGTCCAGTGAACTGTGAGGAGGGTGTATGAAGTCATTCCTGTGAGGTGCTTTGGTCTGCGGATTGTGGGTGGTGGCGGGGGCAGCCCTAGAAGTTATGAGTAGGAAGATGTGAGTACGAGGCAATGGTTGGCATCTCTAGGAGAGTGTGACATTGCCTAACATCACATAGCTACAGATTGTAGTCAGTAATCAGAACAAGGTCTATTTGGATAGAGACATTGATCATCCTAACACACCTGGTAACAATAGGATAATGCTGACTCTCAGAAAAGCTAATCCCTGTCTAAGGACACAAGGTTAGCAGGAAGAAGACAAGAGTATGGTTCACAATAGATAACTCTACACAACACTGGAACATGCTAGAAAAGTGTCCATTCAGACATTCATTTCAGTTGATAGAATCAACAGAATCCAGTAGGCAATGATAAAGCTTTCACGATTAGACTTACGTGAGTTCAAGTCCAGAATCTGCCTCTTGCCAACCATGGAATCTTGGGCAGACTTATTAATGGATGAACAAAGGCCTGGTTCTGACATCTCAATCCCTGGATTCTAGGAATCTCAATGTAGTAATCTATAAATGAGGGCATTGAATTATATGTTCTCTCAAAGCTTCGTCTCAATTTCTGTTGATGGCCTAGAGCAGAGATTGGCAGACTCTATCCCATGGGTCAAATCCATCTATTTTTGTAAATAAAGATTTCATGGAACACAGCCACACACATTCATTTGCATATTATCCATGGCTGCTTTTATTCAACAACTGCAGAGTCGAGTAGTTGCAACAGAGACTATATGGCCTGTAAAGTGTAAAATATTTACTATCTGACCCTTCCCAGAACCAGTTTGCTGATCTCTGGCCCAGAGGAAAGTAATTTTTTTCTGCCCCCAGCACCCATGTTCTTTGTGTCCAAATTCTTGCCTTCCTTTAATATTGTTCTTCTTTAATTATTTTTGGGAGAACTTAGAGACCAGTCTCTGGACATATCCTGCCTGGGATCAAATCCCACCTCTGCCACTCACTAGTGTGAGCTTGGACACATTCCATAAATTATCTGAGCTTCTGTTTTCTTCTCTGGAAAATGAGGTTGGACAGAACTATCTCACAGTGTTCTCCTGGGACTTTAATGGGATACTCCATGGAAACTGCGTAAAAAGTGCCCGGTGGATGTTAGCTACTGTTACAGTGACTGTTTTTTCTTCATTCATCCCTCTGGGCAATTGTCCATCTCCATGTTTCTTCATTTAGAAGTTTGGCACTTAATAGCTGGTAGCTCATACTGCAATAATTAATCTGGCCCACAGCAAAGAAATTAAAGTACAGGAAGATGTCTGGGAAATGAGAAGGTTGGCAAAATTATACTTGTAGCTCACCCCCTTCTTTACATGGTAAAAGCCAGCCATGTGTCACACCCTACTTGGGGCAGGGGCCTGATGGCTGGAAATGCCAAGGAAGATGCCTGAGATGCTTTCACCCAGTCTTTCCTCATGACAATGAGACCCAGACTGTGCAGAGACACTCAGATTCCTGAAACAGCCCAGCCCAGGCAGGGAGTCAGGTTGCCTGGCTGTCCTCCCTCTGTTAATCAGAAGCAGGAGTGCTCTGCTGAATGGGCTGCTCAGGAGAGAATACAAATACCTCAGCTGGCAGGGTTAGAGAGTGACCTCCACCAAAATCTCACATCCCCTCCTTCCAGCCCCCCATCACAAGAGGCTTCAGGCTACAGGTCTGAAAGCCTATAATTCATCCATTCCCAGCATCCCACCCCCTTCCCCAGCCAAGGGGGTCTAAGTTTCATTACATATCTCAGGAGGGGGTCTTCATTCGTGGTCAGTGAACATCTAGCCCAAGAGACCTCCTAATTAAAACCACAAACTCATTATTATCACCTACTCTTTCCTCTTATTGTTTATGATCTCTGTATACTCTCTGCTCTGCCCCCAATACACATGGATCCAACAGGAATGGCTAGTCTTTGCTAGTGTTCTTTCTCCTTTAATGAATCTTAGGCCCCAGCTATGTTTCTCAGTGGAGTTGGAGGTCTGGGACCCTGATTACCACCAGGGTTTCCAATTGCCTATTCTCCCCCTGGCCTTTCTGAAAGGATCCATTGAGAAAGACGTCATGATTAAAGCCCTTGGAACAGGCAATGTGTAATTGAAGTAGTGCCTGGCGCCTCTCGGCTTAACCTCCCTCCCCATAAACCACAGCCAAGCTCAGCAGGCTGCAGAGCAAAATGTGAAGTGTGAGGTGGGGGTGGGGCACATCTGAAGTGTAGGAAAGCCAAAACATGCAGGGTGCTAAGAGGAAACATCCCTGACATGTGACAAAGATGTGTAGGAAAAGCCATACAGAAAGAATTATGTCAGACTTGTCACAGAAAGAGTGAAACATATCTTTATATTATATACACTACAGGCTCATACACGCAACTCAGACGTTAAAGGTTGTTAAGTGGGGAGGGGGGTCTCTCAGAAGGGTGTTATGACGCGGTTGAAGAAAAGTGGGCTTCTGATACCTGTGTTTGAATTCAGCTTAATATTTCCTGGCTGTATAATCTTGGAATAATCACTTCATTTTGAGTTTGTTTTCTTCTAAAGCTCTTCCTTGCAGAGCAGTGGTGAGACGTCAAGAAGCTGATTTGTGCAGTGTCTGATATAGAGGCTGTGCATAAAAGGTGCTTACTTGCTACAAATATCTATCTTTTCTATCAAGCACTAAGAGAAGATGAGTGGAGAGTGGAGAGGCAAGGAGAGCCGGGAATCTTGCTGTGTGACTTGGATCACCATGATCAACATTGTCATCATAGCAGCTAACAATATACAGTTTTATTATGTGTCAGATGCACACCCCACACACACACGTTTGCAAACACACACGTGCACACACATGTGCATGCTAATCCTCCAACAATTATAAAACATACAAGCTAGGTACGAGTATTTTTCTCGCTTGTGGAAACAATTACTAAGATGTGGTTCTTACTAAGAAGGGGATCGGGTCCTGCTTCAAAATCACTTCAAGACATTTAACATGTTACTACTTTTGGACTCTGATAAGTGAACTATATTGTATATAGAAAGAAACTTATTGCCACATTACTTAGAGTCCCAAAGCAATAAAAACAATAAGGGAAATAACCCAAACATGTACCCATAGCTTAGTGGGCTGAATAAATTATGGTATACATATCCATACTATTTATCAATACTATGCAGACTGCGAATATGTTCATGATATTACAATTCTTAGAAAAAAGCAAGATGTAAAAATCTATTCGTGCATAAACCTATCAACTTTGTAAAAAAGATTTAGGCAAAAAGGAAAAAATATTGGAAAGAAATGCATCACTATGTTAAGAGTAAATCTCTGGATTATTTCTTCCCATCTTCCTTTGGAAACTTTGGCATTCTGGTGTAGTGTAGGGTATAGGGTTGAATCTGGGTTCTGATACTCACAAAGCTTGGAACATTAGATAAGGAACTCACTTTCCTAACTCTGTTTTTTTTCTTGTGTAATGTATAGTGGTAACATCTCCAACATAAGAAATGCTGTGAGGGCTAAAACAGAAAACGTATGCAACCATTTAGTATGGTCCAAAATATTATGGTGTATTATGTCTTGATATTAAAAAACGAATAGTGGAGGGGGGTGCCCGGGTGGCTCAGTCGTTAAGCATCTGCCTTCGGCTCAGGTCATGATCCTGGAGTCCCTGGATCGAGTCCCGCATCGGGCTCCCTGCTCGGCGGGGTGTCTGCTTCTCCTTCTGGCCCTACCCCCTCTCAAGTGCTCTCTCTCTCATTCTCTCTCTCAAATAAATAAAATCTTCAAAACAAAACAAAACAAAACAAAAACGAATAGTGGAGTGCCAGGGAGCAAAAACACAGCAGACACAGGAGAGTTGGGCTTTGTAGACAGAGGGGGAGGTTGGGTCCAGCCCTGTCTGGTGCTGACTGGGGGGCTGGTAGTCGTGGACGGCCCCCATCTCTTTTCAAAAACAAACAGAACAGTCCTGGAGGGAAGCTCCCCACTGACCATCTGCATTCACTCAACATCCATGTTCATCCTTTTTACTCCACCATTCATCCTTTTCAGTTTTTCCTTCTCTTTGATGTAGATAACAATCTGGCTGGAGCAGTCTTAAGTGTGAGATTTCCACAACAGGAGTGAGGTCAGGGACACCTGGAGGAAGGGGCCTCGGTGCTGCCCTATGCTAAGCAAACAGCTTAGCAGGACCCTGGCCAGGGAGTTTACATTGGAAATAGGGGCTGTGTTCTGGCTTTACTCAAACACATGTGCTGTCTCTCTGTCTCTCTTTCTCTTTCTGTCTCTGTCTCTCATACACACACACAAACACACACACAACCCATTCTAGTAGCAGGTTAAACATCACTCACTCAGAGATCCTTTCTTGGGACCCACATAATCCCAAGCATTCCCATTACGCATTACCATTCCCACAGCTCAGTGCATTTCTTGAGTGCAAGATGGATCTTATTTTAAAATGACTGGTATAATATCAGCTTTCCCATCTCAGTGAAAATTTCATCAGGGCAGGAGATTGATCTGACTTATTTGACACTGTGTCCCCAGAACAATGTCTGGCATGGTATTCTGATACCCAAATGAATAAAATAAGTGAATATACCAGTATAGAAGCCTTAACTGAATATAGGAGGCCTAAGTGGATAGACTTTTGGGAATTATAGGTTGCAGGGCAGCCACTGGGTGGGACAAGATGGGCCGTGGGTTCCAATAGCCCATGCCACAGTTAGTCTTTCCATCTTGTTAAGTGTGCAAATTCAGGGCCCTAACTTGTTACCATCTTTGTGAATATGTGTGTGTGCTAATGGAGACCTTTGAGCTCACTACTAAGGATGAGGGCGGTGGTTATTATGGTGTTCTCAATGAAGCTATTCCTTCCTCCCCAGTAAGTAATGTGTATTTCTGCAGTGCTCTGTTCAATGCTGGACATGCAGTATGTGTTCAGTTATGTTTGTTGTCTCTTAAAATATCTGAGCATGCAAAGAAGACTTGGAAACTTCAAAACCTAGGTTAATTTGCTTTCTGCTTTTACGAGTTTGGCTGCTTTAGATACCTCATATTAAGTGGAATCATGCTAGGGGTGATGGGGAGAAAGAAATAGGGAGTTGCTGTTCAAAGCATATAAAGTTTCAGTCATGCTAGATGAAAAAAGTTCCAGAGAGAATGCTGTAAAAATTGTGCTTGTAATTAACAGTACTGTACTGTACACAAAAATTTGCTAAAGATGGTGGATCTCATGTTATTTTTTTACCACAATTTAAAAAGCAATTAGTTTTTTTTTTAATTAAAAGAAAATTCTTGTTTTTTGTGGGTCAGACCTAGAGAGGTTTAGTGAAGGTCCTGTCTGTGTATGTGGTCTGCACGGTAAGGACCAGATGGCTACCTCATGTCTTACGAGAACACCAGACAACCTTTCAGGTTTCCTGGGGGTTACCATCATCTTT